TAATCCTTCTATACACAATGAATATGTATTACTCTCACTGGTTAATAAAGAACTGACTGGCCTATACCAGGGCAGGAACAGATTGGGTGGAAGAGCCAGACTAGGAGAATGCTGAGAAGAAGAAAGGCAGAGTATGGAGTAGCAAGCTGATGCAGAAAAAGAAAGATGGACATGCCATACTGAGAAAAGGTACCAAGCCATCTGGCAAAGTATAGATATAAATATGGGTTAACTGAAAATATAAGAGTTAGCTAGAAACAAGGCCGAGCTATTGGCCGAGCATTTATAATTGTTATTAAGCCTTTGTGTGTTTATTTGGGAGCTGCTGGTAGGAAAGAAACATCTGCTAACAATTATTTTTATTTTTCAATCAAAATAGGTAATGTGTGAGCTGTGGCCATACCATTCTGAACATGCCTGACCTTGCCTAAAATTGCCAATGTATACACTGTGTATAAATCTGCTAACTGCAGAAATTACCATATACTGGTCACAATTTCTGAAAGTCTATTTCTTTCCCCCTCACGTTTCAACAAGCAAAGCGCATATTAAGGTATTATCTCAGTGTGGATGGGGGAATCTCACAGAGCCCCACCCCTAGATGAAGAGCTTCAAGCAATAACCAACTGCTGAGGGAGGGTGAGACAGTCCCCACAGAGACAGCCCTCTTGCCCCAGCATTTATGTATTTAGTCATTTATGTTATATATACCGTGTGTATGTAACAACAATGGTTAAAAGAGGTGTCTGAACTAGGAAGAGAGGGAGGAGGGAGAGGAAAGGTGAAATTATGTAATTACACTTTAATTATTTTTTAATTTAAAAAGATAAAATCCCAACAAAAACAAGCAGGGTTTTTTAGTGTCTGTTTAGTTTCAACAGAATTAGAGAAAAATACTTCTCAAGTCCATTTGGAACAGAAATGCATAGTGGTCTTGATATTTGGTAAAAAAAATAAGAGTGTAATCAAAGCCTACTAGGTGCCAATTCATCTGTGTAGCAATATAAACTAACACCCTGTGAGTCTGTCAACAATAACAGTACAATTACAGGTAATAAAATCAATAATTTATTGAGGCCTGTTATGTCCAAGACATGTTATAAACAATCAGTATTGATTTTTTCTTTCTTAAAATCCTATGTGGTAGATGTTCTTTTGTTTCTGATTCCAATATAATTAAACATGATTAGAGGCACTGAGTGACATAATTAGTGACTAGTCTGTGAAAGAAACAAAACTACATCAGCATAGGAAAAAAAGTGTCTATACGCACAGCCAATTGCAAGTTAAAGGTAGTGTTTCCAAGTCATTGGGGAATAGATTGATTACTTAATAAATGGCAATAAGGCAGAAGACAAATTATATGACATATTTAGATCCTATTTAATGGAAAACACCCACAAATAGGTGGATAGACATAGTAGAGAAAAACCATAGTACTACAGAACTTGTAATTTTCAGGTTGAGAAGTTGGGCCAGTCTGTAAGTGACCTAGCTCAGGTCTCCAGCTCCCAGGTAAGAAGCCAGACACGGCAGACTCCTGAAATGCCCTGGCTAGCCAACCAGGCTGAATTAATGAACTCCAGGTTCAATGTAAGTCCCTGTCCCAAAAAATAAGGTGGCGAGCAATTGAGAAAGACAAAAGAGGATGTGGACCTCTGCTTTCCACACAAAATGCACAGGAACATATATACTCACACACACAGGAACACACTCATGGGTACACACACATACGGAACACACACACAAACTCAAGATCATCATTGGCTCTACCACACATTTGATGACATTTTAGGACATATGACACCCTGGCTCAGCAAGAACAACAGTAATTAGAATAATTGGACAAAGACAGGAATGTTAGAATTAATTGCAAAAAAACAAACAAACAAAAATAACCAAGGAAACTAACAAAAAACTTCTGTAATAAGAAAATATTTACAACAAAGAGTAAATATCTCTAATATTCAAAGAAAACCGCTGCAAAAACATTTAACAAAAATGAGAACACTCAGAGGAATCCATGAGGGAAACACAAACAGACAAAATACAAAATAAACCATTCTCATCTTCCATAAATGTCAGAGAAAAACAAAAAGCTGTTCACATTTAGAATGCTGGTATGTCTAAGTCAGTGTGACCCTCAGAAAAGATATAGTGAAAAAGGCTTGCTACCGAAGATTATTCACTCTGCCTTCACTTGTAAAGCAGATCTGTTATCCTTAGCAGAATTAAATATCTACTTTCCTTCACCTTATAACACTTACAGGAATTGCTACTTCTGAAAAGGGAATTTTCAAAGTGCCTTTAAATATGCTATTCCTTGGTTGTAGACTGCCTTTTCTTCACTTTTGCCTATAAACTTCTTACTCAGGTTACAACACTCAGCTCAAGTGTGCCTTCCTTATTTGCAGGCCCTACTTAATTCACTGTTATATTCCCAAGTGTAATTGCAAGGGGCTTGTAGTGGTTTAAATTCTATGTAGATACAAGGCACTCTGAAATACAGGACAGGTAGAAGGGGAAGAGACCATGGGAGAACACACCCTCTGTGTGAATCAGTAACTGAGGAAGGCTCAGGGCAGCAGAGATGATGGACTGCAGGTAGAAAGGGACCATGGCTGCGTGCGTCTACAGAGCTGAGCAAAGTGGATGCTCACACAGATTCCAAACCTCCAAAGAGCAGTTAACCGTAAACCAGTGCATTTAAGGCTAAGCCAAGGATCTTATAAAGAAGGTTTTAACAAAAGGAATTTCTCCAGAGAAAACATGAAAATCAAAGAGCTTCTCATAAAGCTGCTGCATTGCCCCTGTACCATCTCTCAGCACAGGCTCTGAAGCATCTCTCCCTGCAGCCACAGTAGGATCTGCTTCACAGTAAGTGAGTGTGGGTTGTTGTTTAGTTTGGTTTGGTATTGGGAGATGAGGTTTCACTTTGTAGCCCAGGCTGACCTGGAACTTACTATGTATCTTAGTAGGTCCCTGAGTTCAAACTCAGGACAATCCTCCTGCCTCAGTTCTCCCAAGTGCTGGGATAAGAGGAATGAGACTCTATGAATGACTTATATAAAATGAATTTGCTAAGTTTTCAATCACCATAATTGGAATTGGTATAAAGTACGATTTCTGTTTACTTTTTCTCCTTAATCTCAGTGTGGATTCCTTCTGCCCTGTTCTTTTAAACAGAGGTTAAAAAAATGGTACTGCTGATATTTCCAAGAACATTTCAAAATAATTTTTAATAATTCATAATATTCTTCTAAGTTTCCTTTCCTTAAATAAGAGTTGATTATATCTAGACTATTTTGTCTCATCTACTATTCATTCACCCTGTAATGTATGCATTTATCATTTATTCCTTTAACAAGTGTCCTGAATGTACTGAATGAATAAATGATAAATACAATATTTAAAATGATCTTGACCACAGTCCCAAAATTGTACCTTTCCTCTCTAGATTTCATTGTCCTACACATCTGCTACTCTGCAGACTTCCAGCTACACACACCTTTATTTCCTTCCACTCTACCCTAAACCCCTGCTGACAATTGTTCTATTTTCTCTTTGACACTTGACTTTTACATTGGTTTTTGATTTCACATCTACGTGAAGCCAGACAGTACTTTTTCATATATCATAATATTGTTGAGGTTCATCCATGGTACAAAAATGGCAGGATTTCCTTTCAGTGACTCATGAACAGAAAACAAGTAACGACCCTAATATAAACAGATAAGGCATCAAATGGAGAAAAAGAAGAAGAAGGCACCTTGGGGAACGGACCAGACGGTTTCCACAAAACAGAAAGCATGCTCTGGTCAAAGGAGGGAGTCCAGCCCAGAGCCTGGATCGACACTCAGCCTGCCGCACTAACGGCCTGTGGCAGTCCTGCCATGTAACCCCCCGCCTTCCAGCTTCTCTACCAGGCACTGGCTTGTCTCCTGAAATCCCATTTAGCTCTGAAACTCTGATTCATGTCTTTAAATAGCCAGTACTTTCCTGCTCCAAAGATAAGCAAACTCATACTGATTTCATCACTCAGGGTCAAGTTGTTGTTGTTTTAGTCTAGGCCCAAGAACAAGTAATCCGATCATTGCAGTGCTGAAATGTTTTGTTTTGTCTTCTTGCTAGGAAGCCCTGGCTGACCTACTCCTCCCTGTGTAGTCCAGGTTGGTCTACAGCAGTCCTCCTGCCTCAGCTGCCCAAGTGCTAATGAGATATCTAAACTCGTGAGCCAAAATAAACCTTTTATCCTTTTAAGCTAATCATCTCTGGTATTTTATTATGGTAACAGCAGATGAGCACATGGGCACAGAGGCAGCTAAGGGTTGTCTCTGGGCATAAAGGAGCTGCAAATGTCCATGTGCTAAAGTTTGGTCCCTGGCTAATGGGCTATTGGGAGACATCTGGATTGGGGGTGGGGTGGGTGGATATAACATCATCAATGGATTAATCTGCTGAAAAATTTAGAGGTGAATAGGCAAATAGAATTGGGGCCTGGCTGGTGGAATCAGGTCACTGGGCTTTGTCTTTGAAGGGAATATTTTGTCTCTAGCCCCTTCCTGTCTCGACCTCCTGCCTACCATGATGTTACCCACTGTTCCATCACATACTCTCCAGCATGGTGTTTAAGCCTTGCCTCAAGACCACAGCAATGGAGCCAGCCAACCTTAGACGCATGGAGCCAAAATCAAGTTGTCCCCACTTTGAGTGGGTTTGCCCAGGTGTTTTGTAGGATTGACAAAAAGTTACTAAGACTCTAATATACCTGTTATATAGAAAATACTTCAGTGATTTCTGAACAGTCCAGATAATGCAGGGAAATCGCAGCAAGGTGGAGAGAACATGCCTGTGCATTTCTTTCTTCCTTCCCTTACTTCCTGACTCACATCTGTCCTTTAGATTTCTTGTCCAAGTAGCTATCTGGCCTCAGTTATGTAGCTACAGCACCATCCCATGAGATAGTTCTCACACCCGCTCCAACAAACTGATGGACTTACCGCCCGAGCAGAGTCTCCGAAGTCTATCTTCAACCTCCCCATGGCCCTAATGATAGCGATGATGGACTGGATGGTGTTACTGTAGACCACCGCCTTGTACTGTTTACACTCCTCTTCTGAGTAACCAGCTTCGTGGATAATTCTAAAGAGACGAGAGGAAAATAAGCACATTTCCTCTTCCGAAGTCACTCGCAGCCATAAACATAACTAATATCTCCATCTACTCACTTCATTTGCTTCACAATCGTACTTTTTCCAGATTCACCAGCACCTAGAAGAGAAAATAAAGATTTTCCCATTCAGTATTAGCACTTAAGTATCTCCAGCTCCCAGTGCACACACACATGCGTGTGAACCACACTCTGTATCACTTACATTGAATCTTGTATTATATTAAAACAAGATAGAAAGCATCAACTAAGGAGGATGAGGAAGTACCAAGACCTAAGGTATAGCATGCATATCTCAGTCTGCAGGAAGTGGTCTCAGGACCAACCTCCTTCCTTCTCGACCTCCTCCTTCCCATTCTCTCTGTGTGCTGGGGCTCAAACCATGGGCCTCACATATTCAAGACAAGTAAATGCTCTATCACTGAACAATACCCAGCCCTGTATTTAGGATTTTGGTAAGTAGATTTGAGCTATTCTTACCACAGGAGGAAAAAATGGGTAACTGTGTGAAATGATGAATGTTAATTTTTTTCATGATAGTAATCACTTTACTATACATATATCTTAACAGTATGTTGCACATCTTAAAACATAATAAAACAATAAAATTTAAAATGAACTTTGTTTCCAAACATAAGAATTCTCAGATTTAAATCTTTTTCTATTACTTCATACTACTTCCTTTCAATGTCAATAAACTGAAAAAATGTTTCTGTTATTGTATATTCTCTAAGCATTAAAATAATTCAGTCTTTGGCTGGGCATGATAGCTCGCAGCTTAACCCTAGCATTTCTGAGGCTGAGGCAGGAGACTGACACAAATTGAAAGTGACCTTGGCTACCGGGTGAGTTTCAAGGCGGCTAGTGAGACTCTATCTCACAAAACCAAAAATATGAAAATAAAATAAACCACCTCTGATTGAAAGTTGAAGTAATATAAATTGTTTCACTAATGGTTTTGTTCCACATTGGTAGATATTTTAACCATTGGGTGAATATCTTAATAGTAACTTTTGGCTCCTCTGAAGTAGAAGGACAGTGGTATCAGGGAGCCACTTGAGGGGTTGGAGTGATGGCTCAGTGGTTAGAAGCACTTGCTGATCTTGTAGAGGACTCAAGTTTTGTTCCCAGTACCCACACTGGACAACTCACAACCACCTGTAATTCCAGTTCCAGGGATTCAACACCCTCTTCCTGTTCCTGCAGGCACAAGACATGTAGGTGGTACATATTCATACATGCAGGCAAAAGACTCATAAAATAAAAGTAAAAATTAAGAAAAAAATAATCCAGAGAGCTGTAGAGATCACTCAGCACTTAGGAGCACTCCCAGGTTTGATTTCCAGCACACACAAGGCAGATCACAACAATCCTAACTCCAGTGCCAGGAGATCTGATGCCCTTTTCTGACATCCACAGGTGCCAAGCACACACATGGTACACATACATACAGGCAGAACATTCACACACACACAAAATAAATACATCTAGAATGAGGAGGAAAGGGGAAGGGGAGGGGGAAGGAGATAATGGATGAGGGAGATAGAAGAGAAGGAAGGGGAGGGAGGAGGAGGAAGGAGCATCCATATTCATGGTAACCACAGCCTCCAGGGACTCAGCATTTAAGAGAACTTGTTGCTTTTGCATAAGACCCTGGATCCTAGCACCCACATGGTGTCTTTATAACCATCCATAACCCCAGTTCCAGAGGATCTGACACAGTCTTCAGACCTCTATTGGCATCAGGCACACACGGTGCATAGACACACACACATGCAGGCAAAACACCGAGACACATAAAACAAAATTTAAAAATCCAGAAAAAAATTAAAGGAGCTACATGAAGAAATTTTAAGGAGTAAATGTTAATAGCAAGGTCTCTGCACTGCATGCCAATCATCACTGCTAAATCCTAGTACCCAGCCAGTGTGACTTATGAATGCTGGGCACGGACAGTGTGCTCCACAGTGCTTTTTCCATCTTCCTTTCACAGAAGTCACAAATCCAGGACATTCTCCAAACTCCCCCTGCTTGCTACATACAAAAGTTTTCCTCATGAGCTGCACCCTAGCTTTCTGCCGTACTACTACATGAATACCGCCAGGGAAATGTGGTCCCCTTCCATTCTCACTGCATTTAGCAGCAGATGCTCTTACTATGTCACATTAGACCATCTGAACACAAGGCATAGGAATATCTGACAACTCCACCCATTTGTGCCCGCTTAGACCACATATTCAGAGGAACTTTGTTCCTCTTTGAGAAAGAGCCTGGGTCATGTATTTTGTGAGCTTCATTCTCCAATTTTCCTAGATGTGTTCCCACAGTGCTTTGTGCTCAGCATTACTGAAGAACACAGACCCAAGAATGCCCAGAGCTAATCACATCACAATCATTCAAACACTACTCTCCCGTCCCCACACCCCCAACGATGTTGTCCTGCTTCCCCTTGCCATCTGTGACCTTCTAGCAACCACCACACTTGTGTCCTCTGCCAGCCCCTCCCAGAATTCCATATGTGATACTTGCTGCCTTCCTGTGTCCGATTCTACAGGAATTCTCAGCACCTGTCACCAGAGTCAGCCAACCAGAAGGCAGAAAAGCTCTTAGGTTTATTTAAGATTTTAGAACTCATAGATGCTAAACTTCAGCATGGGCTTTGTCCTTCCCTCCTGCAGCCACAGACAGACAGAGAACATGGAAATACACACACACACACACACACACACACACACACACATACACGGAGCATCCGAAAACAAGCTGTAGTTAAATGACCTATCTGAAACATCTCAGGAGGAAACTGCCTAAGGTTTACTAAATGTTTGATATTCAAGCAAATTTCACAAGATACCCTCACATTAAATAGAAAAGCAGGCACTGAATAAACAATAGGGGTATTCTTTCTTACAGACAGCCTTTGAATCTTTCATGGCATCTGCCCATAAAAAACAATTCCAAGATAAACAACCCATCATTTATTATCAACAACAGTGACTTGGCTCTGTGAAGGCACAATTGCAGGCATTATGGCCCACACATTTCTCTAAACCAGGGTTGGGTCCCCTGAGTAGCACAGGGTAGGCGGTCTCTAAAGACTTCTGCATTTCTAGAACATTACAAATACCGGGAGCAGTGTGTCATGCTATGGTAAAACAGGCCAAAATCTAGGATCCAGACACAGGGTGACCCCACAGGCACAGAGAGCTTTGACGAATGCCCCCCTAGTCTGTGCTGTTAGTAAGACAATTTGAAGGCCAGAGAAAGCTTCAAGTGAGAGAAGCCAGTGAGGTTTGACATCCCTGCAAAGAAGAAAATTGGGGGATTGATTAAGACTATTCTCAACTGACTATGTATGCACAGATTAGAACTTTGGCTTTGTGTGTGTGTGTGTGTGTGTGTGTGTGTGTGTGTGTGTGTGTGTGTTTTCAAGATAGGGTTTCTCTGTGTAGCCTTGGTTATCCTGGAACTCACTCTATAGACCAGGCTTGCATCAACTTGGAGATCCACCTGCCTGACTCCCAAGTGCTGGTATTACAGATGTGCCACCATCACCCGGATAGAACTTTCAAACCTTACAGTGGAGGGAAACCTTTTTTGATGTTAAGATTATCTTTAAATTCTAATTCACATTTTAATCTCTTAAAATAATTGGTGACATGGGGTGCTTGGCTTATTTTGTAAGGAGCATTCAGCATATTGCTCCTATTGACATCTGTGTAGGGTTGAAGTAGAAGCAGCCATCTTATTAACTGGGTATATACTCTTTCCACTGGTGATGAAATCTCTGGACAAGAGATATCTACAGGCAGAAACCCTGCAAAAAAATCTTTTAAAACTCAGCAATGTATGTAATTAGTTTTCAATCCTCACTTCCACACTGAGAGAATCCTAGCACAAAAATTATAAATCCTTGCTATTGCACGTTTCAACATTCCAAATAGTGATACTCTGTTTCCTTACATCACCAAGGAAATAGTTTAAAGGTTGTTCTCTGCAAACTTCAGTCAGAACTGTTGTGTTTGAGAGACCAGCAGGAAGCAATATAAAAATCAAAAAACAAAACCCTTTAAAGTGACAGAAGGAAAAGCCCACTTCCCCTGGAAGTACTCCACCAGGAGGCTATTACCTTTCACTGAATCCTGAGTTAGATAAGAAAATACAGTTATCCAGACTCGACCAAGTGCAGCTTCAAGGAGAACATGAAATGCTCACGAAGAACGTGTCCGTCAGAGGAGTTTCCAGTGTGGAAGCATTTTGGTCACAAGGCCCAGAAGCTCAAGGTGACTGACTGGTCATGGTGATGTGAGACTTGGGGAGAGAGGAGGAGGGGCAGTGACTCCCAGAAGACAGAGGATATGTGAAGACATGATTGGTCATGATGGGCCTGTGAAGCTAAATGTGGGTGCATTGAGGGGAGCCTCCTCCTTCCCCCAGCCTCCTTGAGGAGGAAATGACTGGCAGGACACTGCATCGCTAAGAGCCAATGCTAGGCCCAGCAGGGGTGTGAAGTGGAGCTTAGCAGAAAATAACTGCAAAAGAAATGCTAGAACAGCAACAGTGCCTACCAGGGGCCCCAGGACACAGAGGGAAGGCCTTGCAGTAGGAAGCCCCACCAACGTGGCAGCCCATCAAGGGGACCACAGAGTGCACTGAGGAAGGCAGGTGTGAAGAAGGACAATGAGTAGGAAGACCTAAACACAGGGAGTCCCAGGTCAAATAACTACTTGGCCCAAATTCCTTGAACATAATTATGGGCTTTATCACCACAAAAATGGCAACCTTGCATGTGTTTGCCCCTGACCTTGTTAAAGGGCAATTATTAGAAATGTTAAAATTTTAATTTTGGAAAAAAATCTAAAATCAAAACAGAAAGCACTCCTGACTTCAGAGAACAATTTGTTTGTGTTGTTAATTTTTGGTGTTTGATACAGAGCTATAGTCAAGGCTGGGTCTTCAACTCACCTGTAGCTAAGGATGACCTTAAAGTTGTGATCCTCCTGCCTCCACCTGTGGAGTGCTGAGTTTATTGCATGGACCACCTAATTCTAAGCTTCCGGGATGGAATCCCGGTGCGGTTCTGGCAATGGAACCAACCAAG